TCTCTAGAAAGTACCGATTTTTTCGATTTTTCAATATGGCGGCGGGTGCGGGGGGGGGTAGAATTGTGCATTTTGCGGTTTTAACACCTACTTACCATCCTAGACAACATATAAAAAATTTAGACTTACCGGACCGTTTGTAAGTTAACATACCTCTATTCACTGGACTATAAGTTCAGATCGGCTCGCTTGTGGAGAAGAAACGTAGTCAAACAATTGTTCGCACCACGCAACCAAGGCTTAATACTGACGGGTTCTCTCTACTATTCTCCTAGCGATGTAATCACTGTTCAACTTGTTCACAGACTATTTTATTGGTTCTTATATCTTAGCTGCACAGCTAGCATACATAAATCATCTTAGCTTTTTATCTAGAGAACTACGTAAAACAATGTAACGTAAATTATACAATATTAGGGGTGGCTTAATAGACGTTGTAGTGTGCATAAACGACCTAGCATAAAATACCTAGTCAAAGTATCAGCAACCACCCTTTTTGTGAAAATAAATAGTAGTAGTAGTGAGTATAGTAGTATAGTAGAATAGCCTAAAGGGTTAAATTTAGTCAATGAATACCTCGATATCGTATAACTTTTTGTTGTCATTACTATTAAGCAAAAATATCCTATATATAAGAATGGTACAACTGAAGATTAACCATGGAAATTTATTTTACTTTAGAATAACCCCTAAGAGACATCAACACATTCATGCGTTGTCGAAATTAAAACAACCTCAAAACCATTTTCAACTAAGAATGATAAAACTCGTAGAGAGTATCTTAATATGTCCAAGGCGAGGTCGTGGCTACTGACATTAGTTTGTAACCTGAAGCGATAACCGATCTTACCGTTTAGAATTCCGCTACAAGGTGCAAATTAATAGCAACGGCTTCACTGTAAGTCAAATTGATATTATCAATAGCCTTGCAAACGAGATACGCAATACAGCTGTATCTTAACAACGATCCGTGTGCGGAATTCAATTAAACATATACACCTTGTTTATCAATTACCACCGTGGCAATTATCTCCACCCCGGAAAATTATTATTGGGGTTTCCCGATGCAACACTAAACCAATTTACTAAGCAGTTATTTGCGTTGATTGTTAGGTTATGTAATATCACTCAGAGTTTAGGTTATACACATTTTTTATACTCAATATGCACTTTAAGTTTTGGCCATCGTACAAAACTGTAAAATATGCATATTTATGTAGTGTCCAAGTGAAAGTAGTTAAAACCCAATATTTACGATTGTCAGAGTTCCACAAATAGCTTAAGTTAATTTTTATTATAAGTTATTATTTAAGTTATTATTTAAGTTATAAATTTGATCTAAAATGTTTTCTACAGTAGGGCCTACCACTTTATGGAGCAGCGTTTATCTTGCAACGACTAAAAGTTATCATAAAACATCACACAGGCTGTATGGAGGTATGTACTGTATGGGAGGTTGCTTCTGACAGATAATAAAAATTTACTCAACACCCAACCACGCACAAACTTCGTAACATTTGATATCGACTCCGTATTTGATCTGTCGCTGTTTATGCTTGAAATGAAGTGGAAAGTGTTTTGAAGTCGTTTTCGTGACATAATAAATAAAATCAAGATGATAAAATAATTTCTATTCCGAGAGAGTGTATGCTAAATACACAAAATTTTATAGGATGCGAAACCCGGGTTAAGGTAGTTTATGGTTATACTCAATGCTCTACTGCGCACACATGTCTTCAATTGTTGGTCGAAAAACGTATTCAGGGAAAATATAATTGACAATTAAACCCATACACGCTGCAGTTCAACACACACTGTTTATCTACTCGTAAAAGATTCCACATTTATACTCCACCAGGACTGGCGAGGTTCTGCTGGAGATGCGGGAAGCTCAACTTTCCTGATGTTCCGATGATGTCTCCAACACTGTTATTACGACGCCCGGTAAACTGTGACGTCAGATATCAGACGCTTTCCTCTCAACTTGCTCTTGTAATTATCACAAATTGCTACTAACGATTACCTGTTTCGAACCTGCATTACTGAAGAAATGATACATGTGTCTTGGTATTTACTTCGGCGAATGATATTCTTTACGGCTGATCTACATTTAGATCTTATCACTTGGATTATTGTGAGGATGAGTACATTTAATTCTGATTAAATTTCAAAAATGTACATTTTGTAGGTTAGGTATACGAATTATAAACACCACCTAATATTCTTTTAATATACTGTTGCTAGTTAAAACAATAAAGTTTGTATGCCTTTCTCGTGACATAGGGTCGCAAATTTCCGAAGAAGAATTTTGTGCCTTCCAGTTTGTTAACTAGTCCGGGAACATGTCATTGGGTTGTTACAAAAATAATCCTCTTTCTCATCAATCATAGTAAGCGCATGTCAACATTATGCTTAAATGAGCTGGTAAGGTGGAATTTTTGCTTATACAGGCTACAAACTGTTTGTAAAAGAACCACGTAAGAGTCTAGTAGGTTTCTAGTACATACTAAAGCCTGGAGGCTCCAGGCTGTAGACCGTAGAGGAATTTTCTAATACGGATCAATCTTGCAATTTTCCTAGGCATTTATTTTTAACCACAATAATAGCTTAAACGCTTCCTATAGTGGGCGGCAACACGTGATAAGGTGGGCGAGCGGAGATCTTTATCAGGAGCAATCATGCTAAGTGCACCTCCCCTCCCCAGACCGCCTTAGGCCCCTCCTGAGCACGCGTTGTCGCCGGTACATTCCTTGGAGAGAGTGATTGGTATGATGTGGGCCAAGTAGAAGAATTGGTCGAGGCGAAAAACCACCGACGCTTTATGTAAAGGACGCTTGGTTTGCCAGATCTTCGGCGGGCGTGCTGAAGAATGGGAAATTGTATGGTTTGAGGTTGAGGTTGTTGGTGTTAAGGATATATTTTGTTTAAAATAAATTAATACTGTGTGGACTGACTAAAGGGGAAAGATCTAGACTAGTTGAGTTGATGGCATACATAGTTGATGGCATGCATAGGCATATATAGTTGAGTTCTTATACATTTCTGAAGCAATCAATACAAAATTGAATTGTACTAAAGTTCATTTAAATTTGTATTCCAATTTGTCGAATTTCTTTCAAACAAAACAAAAGATTTACACTTGCTAGGTTTGTATAACTTTATACAAATTTTGCGTGTACTACACAATTTGCCGTTACACCTCTTCATTCATCGTATCAATATGAAGACTATCCAAGTGTTTACGATAATTTGGCAACATTGTGGATACCTTTTAATGCTACCTAGTCTTTGTCAAAATATTCTCTCCATCGCTCCGAAAAAGAGTCATTGTCCCTTTCTTTATCACATACACTGTACCTCCAAGGGTGATATTCCTCCACGCCGTCTCCCAGCCAGTGTTGCACAACAAGTCATTCAGTCATTGTGCCTGTAGCTCACAACTGTTGTGTTCAAGGATGGTTCAGTTCCTCTCTCACACCCTGTGTCTGTTACGTCATCATCCACTTGACGCCTCGGTCTCGAAGTGTTCTTGTTTCACAACCCTCGTCGTGCTCGTCATGTTTCAGTTCCACCGTTCCTCATTGGGGTCGCGTCACGAAAACACTTGTTTGCTCACTTCCAGACGTTCCAGAGCGACCGTTGGTGAAACTCAAGAACCACTAACATCGACGTGTCTGGTTTCAAGTCGTGCCCGTGTTCTAGGGATGGGAGAAGGTTTCCGTGTACGATAAGTTTCTCGATATGGGGGCTTTTAGTTGAAGTTAGTGCTTTCAGTAAATAACTGAAGCCTCTAGAGCAAATGTTTAATTTGAGCTTTTGGAAATATCACTGATTGAAAAATTCTCTCTCTCCAAATCGTTATTATTCTTAAAAAAGGTATAGGAATGTTTACTTTGTATTGACAGGCGTAGTTCCCTACTACAAAAAAACAATAACAATAGATTTGAAGGAAAATCCGTGTCAAATTCCATTCTTTGGGTCGGACCATATATATTTTAGGCATTATCTGATTCTGTCCAAATCGCCTGTCATCTTTATAAGAACGAATATTGTCATTGAAGACGATGTGAATGAATATATATTCGTCACGATTGCATATTCGTAACAGTGAAAAATATTAACCTCTTTACTCCATTGTTTTAAAGGTGTGTTTGTGTGTTATATTCATCCAAATGTCTGTTGTGCACTATTAATTTGAATATATATAAGATTCCAAATCATGAATGGATTCCTAAAAATAACCTAACTTTAGGATAATAATATTACTATGACACGCACAAAAACAACTTTCATTCTATGAAAACCCATTGTAAACAGACAAATAGTAGATACACGGAATCAATTCTTTATGAATAGTCTCTCAACATTTTCCCATCCACTCTTTAAACAATTCTTGTATGCTAAGGAAATTTCATTCATAAAAGTTGTACACTACATAAAACAACACACTACACCTGTCGTTGGCGGCCGCGTAGGTCGGGAATGTTGCCACGCCTTTCATAAACACATCGGAGAAATGAAGAAAGCCTTTAGCTCAAAACAGACAATGGTTATGTCTGCCTGGGCAGTCGGTCGTCCTGAAATTATGCGCAACGGGCGCACACCAGCGAGCACAGTCCTCTCTGGCACATACGTCGCCTGCACGACCGTAGAGATTATACTTGCCAATTAGGAGGGAAAAAGTGGTGTCGTCGGTCAGCTGATAGTTCAAGGCCTCCTTCTATAGGTTAGGAAACTTCGTGGCATCTATTCGTATGCCATAAGTGTGACACAGTTATGATAACCGTGTGGAGTGTCTGTTACTAAATACTTCACTTTTCTTATACTTCTGCTACCATGTTTTGTCAACTTAATTTTACACTCAGTGGATGACAAAGTCTTGCCTGTTTTCACGACGTTTATTTATATTCCTACCCCTATTTATCAAAGACCAAACAGCATAAAGCATAAGTGTGTTTGTTGTAATGTAACTTACGTTGACGTTTTGTGTTAATTTCCAGGATGACGAGCCCCCGGAGATCACGTACTGTGTTGTGGACCACACGGGCACGCTGTCCCTTCAAACCCTCACACCCACACAGCCCATGCCCAATGAGGACGAGCTTAACGCCAAGTTTGCCGAACTGGTTGTAAGTATTTTCTATTCATTTAGGAGTCTGATTTCAAAAGTTTTAGGAATGTCTTCTTGAACGAAAGCAATTTTTAGCGACTATTTTAACCTCTTCTCTTACTTTGTATATGCTTTATAGCCGACTGTTCAATGTTACATTTTCTTATACCTCTTCTAACCTCTGTGTATTTGTCTTCTTCTTCCTCTTCTGCTTATGTCAATGACTCCTGATGTCTTCTAGCTTCTGGACCCCCTTCTCTTTTTAGCTTTCAATATTCTTCTTTTATTTCTTATGGCTTGCATTCTCTCATATTTTGTTGTTTTCTTAGCCTCCTGTTGTCTGACTGCTTCATAAATTTTATCTTGTCTCCTTAGCAGTTTGTTTTTAGCGAATTTCCCTATAGGGAAGTAGCTATTACCGTAGGTCTCATGGTAAGACCTAAGCCCGGGACCGATTTACTTTTTCATTTTGATGTCCCCAGAGGCCAAAAACACCATTCGTTCAAATTTTTATATATCTATATATATATATATATGTGTGTGTGTGTGTCCATCCGCACGATAACTTGAGTAATTTTTGTCCGATTTTGATAAAATTTGGTTTGAAGGTGTAAGGCGGGATAAACTTGAATGAGTTCGCGAACCAGCATGATCGGACTATGGGAATGGGGGTTTAAGGGGAGTTTTTATGGGGTAAAAATAGGTTTTTCCCATTTTTTACCCTAAAAACATGAAATTTCACAATTTCTTTTTAAACCATTTTGTAGAGCTTAAAAAACAAATAATTTAGTATATTGAAGCGTTATTATGCGCCTATTTGTTACGGAGAAAATTAAAAAAAAATGTAATTTTGAAATTCCCATGTTATTCTTATGGAGAATAAGTCAACTGTTGTAGTTTGCTTGTTTATGAACATATTTTGATCGATTTTGGAAAATACTTTTATTTCTTACTAAACTATTATCAATTTATAAAAAAAACTTTTTTACCCTCCCTGTTGCAGCAAATCTAAGTACTCGTTAAACTTATTCTATTTAAATAGGAAATAAATGTGCTATTTTTATGGAGGCATTTTAATGTAAATCTAATCAGGTTAATGGAAATTCGCTTAGTCTGCAGGTTTGCTGTGGCGGGGGTATTTGTGTTTTATTTATTTTCATTTCTTCTGAACAAAAGGGGTGAGAGTGGATCTCTCTGATTAACTCCACACCTACACCAACTTCCTCTGCCAGTTGTCTGAGAAGGATAGAGCAGCCAGAGTACATTTGCGGACTGCTGAATTTACTGTGGAACGCTCAAAGCTTTGGGCACCTTAGTGATGGCAGGGTGTGCCACGGTATTGAAGGCCTTGGAGACAGAATAACCACGACTAGCTCTCCTTTCTTTCTGAGTCGAATGACCTCGTCCAAGTTGGTGCTGAATTTCTTGGATGGAAAATAAACTCTTGGTCAGATAGCTTAACGGTGTTGCTGAGACGAATTTTCAACCTGCTAATGTAGATTGAGGGTCTTATCCACCAAGCGTGAATATGTTCTTCTTGTCCTGCACCCTGGCGTAGCGGGCCAGTGTACGTTGAGTCCGTTCGGACATCTGCTTCTGTGTATAGCAGTTGTTGACCGACAGAGGAGCTACGTCTGTCAGAAGGAGCGCTGGCTGTTTTTATCTTGGAGGAAGGGGAGAAGTTCTTGCGTTGATGACTTCAAGGTGCACGCGTGGGCTGTTCAACACAAGTTCTCACTCAAGACACAGGATCCCAACGGCAAGTTCTGGTGATCCTTGGAATTTAGTGAGCAGAACTGCCATTCCTTAGCATGACACAAAGATGATCCTGCAGTTATTTCAACTGAAACGCGACACTTTAATTAGAGAGTGTGTTGCTTTGTGGGTTGGTAATGTACTTAGTTGGCAGTTAGGAGATGGATCGGCCAATGTAACTTAGTAGGATTATTACTATTTAAAGGATCTAGCTCCATATTCCCTTTGTTTATTTAGGCCTACTTTGGTTTTTACTCATGTCATAATTCCAACCTCTTTTTACTCTCTAACTTTGACCTTTTGTTAGATATCATATTTAAGTCCAATGACAGATTGCATCTGGTCCAGCATTGATCTTGCTTGTGTTCAATCCAGGAACCTTCAGACTTAAAGGTGGACAATGTAACCATTGAGTTGCCCTCATACTTTATAGTAACCTAGATTCTTTTAGTGTGAATCATCCTCTAATTAGTTCTAAAATATGAACTGATAAATTTTTTACAAATGATGATCAAAATTATTTGAAAACTTTCCCCCTAAATAATCATAGTATATACACATTGCATCTAATAGCCGATAGCCAATGATCAAATCTATTAAATGCTTACTTATATAAAAAAAAGAACTGTAAAGCCCAAATTGTTAACATATAATAAGTTTGACAGCTGAAAAATGTCCCTGGCTTCATGGAAAAAAAATACCCCCGTCGCAGCAAACCTGCAGACTAAGCGAATTTCCATTTGCCTGATTGGATTTACACTAAAATGTCTACTTAAAAATATAAAATTTATTTCCTATTTAAATAGAATTAGTTTAACAAGTACTTAGGTTTGCTGCATCAGGTAGGGTAAAACTGTTTTTTTTTGTAAAATGTTAATAGTTAGTAAGAAGTAAAAACATTTTCAAAATTTGATGAAAATATGTTCATAAACAAGCAAACTACAACAGTTGACTTGTTCTCCATAAGAATAACATGGGAATTTTAAATTTACATTTTTTTTTAATTTTCTCCGTAACCATTAGGCGCATAATAAAGCTTCAATATACTAAATTGTTAGTTTTCTTTAAGCTCTACAAAATGGTTTGGAAAGAAATTTCTAAATTTTATGTTTTTTGGGTAAAAAATGGGAAAAACCTATTTTTACCCCCGTCCCCATAGTCCAAACATGCTGGTTCGCGAACTCGTTCGAATAAATGTAGGTTTACACGTTTGTACCAAATTTCATCAAAATCGGATAATTTTTGCTCAAGTTATCGTGCTAACGAACACACACACACACACATATCTAATATATAAAATTCTCGTGTCACAGTGTTTGTCTGCAAACTCCTCCGGAACGACTTCACCGATCGTTATGAAATTTGGTGTGTAAATTCTGTAGGTATGCGAATCGGACGTAAACTATTTCCCGTTTCGAAATTCTTAAAAGGGCTCTGCCCCAGTGGCTCTGGAGTTTCCCATGTTAACCTTATGAGAAATGGAATTAATGAATCTTAACAGCTGTTTCAATTAAACAAGTTGGTTCTGTTCTATGATGTTCAATAGCATTAAAGTTACAAGGATTACCAACAGGGTGCAGCACTATTATTTCTTTTACATTTATGACAACAGCTAATTTGCAACCAAAAGGTGAGTGAGCGTAGCGAACGAACTTCAACCTGAAGGCGGGTGAGCGTAGCGAACGAGCTAACCTGGAGGCGAGTTAGCGTAGCGAACGAGCTCCAACGTAAAGGCAAGTGAGCGCAGCGAACGAGCTCCAACCCAAAGGTGAGTGAGCGTAGCGAACGAACTTCAACCGTTACGTGATTGAGCGATGCGAACGAGATCATCTTGAAAATTAAACGTAACGGTACTTTCTTTCCATCGGTCTGTCTTAGGGGAAACCTATAACTTAGGCGATACGAAGTTCGCCGGGTCAGCTAGTATATATATATAAATATAAAAAATAGAATAATAGGGATACGATTAAACATTAATAAACTTAGTACCTACCCAAGTAAAAAAATATTTATTGAGCGGAGCGAGCGAAGCGAGCGTAGCTCTTTGGGATCAACTTCAATGCAACAAATAGAGAAACATCACTCAATAACGGCTAAACGCATTTCAGCCAAACTTAACAAAATTACTTAGACTAATAGTGAGATGGTTTTTAAACAAGCAAATTTCAATTAGATAATACTAATGCAATTTAAAACGAAGTTAAAATTTCCAATTTTTAACATTAGGCTTATGGGACTAAAGTAGCCATATGACAGTTTTTTGTTTACAAGAAAAATGTAAACAAGAGAATCATAAGGTATTTCTTAACTTTCTAGACTTTTCTTTTAAACGTTTTTAAACCATTCCTATGATTTTAAAAAACAAGAAAATGCCGTTAAAACATTTTTTCAAGGCGCGGAATTCACTGAAAATTGAGAAAATATACGGTACTACTTTCTCAATGCGCGGAGCATAAACAAGGAGCGCAGGGATACGGACCGCGGTGACTACTTTCTTGGGAACCTATTTGTGTTGCCAGCTGATTAGTGATTAGAATTTAGAAACAGCCAATGTTAGAAATCAGAATCTAATAAGCGATATATCGAACCGCATCGAAATCGATATTTAATCCGATAATACCTCACAGGTTATATTATGTTGAATTACATCGACGGTGCAGTAAGTTATTACACTTATTAATAAAACGCAGATTGAACACTGATCTAATTTCGGCATGTGGGGAAGGTAGGTCGGGGTTTATGAGTATTCGTGGTTTATGAGTATTAGTGTTTTGAAGTAAGGTAAAGTGTAGGTTATAGGTAGGTGATCGGGTTGTTTATTTGTGTTGCACCATATAATTTTTATCTTTTGGAATAGTTGGTTAAACGGGGAAACGATTACAAAAATGCTTGCATTATGGTATTAACAAGCCATCTACGGTATTCTAGCATTGTCTTTATATAAAGTCAATGATTCTAGAAAATTACTACATAAAAACCAAATGAAAAGAACATTTGGATTTGGGCCTTTGACCATAGCAAAACTAACATGTAATTTATGAAATGTGAAAAGTTGTATATCATTAAATACTATTCTGTAATATTAATAATTGTTCGGCAAATCCTCATTTTAATGGCTCGGCTGAAAATGGAATCTGCATTTTGTGAAACAGTAATTTGGTAACAATTCAGTAATTTCAAATGTTGATAACAGTAGCCTATCCTGTATAAATACTGTTATTTGATTGCCAAGCCACGGGCTATACATACGTCCAGTTACAACCATAATAATAAGTAAATAAATTAATTACCTAGGCTTATAGAAGTCCACTTTTAACCACGGTATGGATAATTGTCAAGGCTTGTCCAGAAGTAGGCTACTAATTTCTATTTATATTATCTACATTGTATATTTAAGGCATGTCTTCCCTTCTTATTATTATTCTGTTTTCACTTAAATCAGCTGAATGCGATGTTTACTTATTACTTATGCTTAGGCCTACATTTCAGCCATTTTATGTTGCACGGTTGAATTTAAATGTCAAATTTCCCCTCCTGTTGTTATACTTTAATACTCGTTTTTTTATAGTTACTGTTTTTTTATACTTAAATACTTTAACCGATAGTAAGGGTGAAAAATGTAGCCCAATGTTTTTTTGTTGTAGGCTACAGTTGCATTTGAATATTAAATTACCTTTCTCTTTTTTATACTTTACTTTTTGGATGTTAATATCAGATTCCAACTACTGTAATATTTTCATGGTCAAAACTACCACAATGCACTTCTGGAAGAGGTATCTGAATAACAAGATGTAGTAAAAACAAATTTGAATTATTATAATTTTAATCAATAAAACCAGCATTAGTACATCTATTGACCTTTTTACATTTAATTACTTATACAAATATCAAATCACGTTTGTTCCGCTCAACTGGCTTTCACCTCTCTGAAAGCAACCCTAGTTAAAATATTTACTTGGGTATTAAGTCTATTAATGTTTAATCTTTATATATATATATGAATTTGAACGGATGGTGTTTTTGGCCTCTAGGGACCTCGAAACAAAAAAAATCGGTCCCGGTTCCAGGTCTTACCATGAGTACTACGGTACTACGGTAATAGCTTATTCCCTATATGGGAAATCCGGTAAAAAAGAAAAAAAAAACAACAGATAAGTTGATATAATTATCCTTGTTCATGTGTTTTATTAATTCTGTTAACTATTGTTTGTAGGAAGAGCTGGACCTGACGGCGCCCAACAAAGCTGCAATGCTGAGTCTACCTCCGGAGAAGAAATGGCAAATATACTGCAGCCAGAAAAAGGTCGGTGACGAGAAGACCCTCGTTTCTTTAATTTTTTTTCCACTTATCTTCATTTTAATATAGGCTCTACCAACTATAATGTGTGTGCACAAATAGCTGTTTCAGCTGCCATGCATACTAACATACTAACATTTTCCAACAGTTAAACTAGATTCAAGTAAAATTCAATCAGATGATTCAAATAATTATGCTACCCCTAATATACGGTAGCCTACTGTATGCGGTCACCTTGAAGACATAACTCCGAAGGGGTGGTGTTCAAAACAATTAAAAGGTATAAAAGAAATTATAAACCTTTACATAATTCTTAAAAAGTATGGACCTTTAAATACTGTTATTTGTGTAAAAAAATCCACGCTTAATACTTTAACTTTTGTTCATTTGTGTTAATTTATTATTAAGTGTTGTTCATTTATTATTAAGTGGTTATTTTTCTATATAGGTCCACATTTTACTATGCTGTTTTAAAGTCAATAAATTATTAATACCTTAATTTTTTGCACATATTAAATGATAAAACTATGTGTTGAAGTGATCTATTTGATATCATGTTAAAGGACCAAGACGGAACTACAGATCTTTCTCAGTTACCAGAAGAATATATAGAAAGAGTGCAAGCTTTGGCTAAGGTAAATATGTAGTGTACAAGGTAAATTATAAACTATTAAAAAAATTAAGATTTGCATTTAAATAATATGTTTTTTACATACATAGACCATACTCGTAAACTACATAATACCGATCATTATTCATCTTAACGATGTTTAACACACGAGTTGCTTACTGCAATACATGATTTATCGATAGAGAAATTATCAGGAGAAATTGGAGGTCAAGATGCATATATTTTTGTGTCTTGAATGGTAATGTAGTATCAATTGAGTTATGGGGTAATATAAATACGAATTTACAACAGAAAGCTATGATTAAGTCTTGAAACACCTTACGCTCGGCCCTGAGGCAGTCATGATTTGCTTATTTAAACTTATAATGCCAACCTTCCCACATGGTTGAGACATCTTGTTTAGTGGGCAGATTGTTTGGCAATTGGTTAGTAATGATTTGTAAAAGATTATGAAACATCATCACATGTTGAGTTCAATGAGACAGAAATTCTTAGTATTGTCTATATACTTTAGTATTATGTTTTCATAAACTTATACGGAACTTGCAAGTTGTACAGTTCTTCTATTATACTTCTGGTTTTTTGTATTATAGAAAACTAAATCAGGTGGAATAGAGAAAGCTGCATTTGGAAAAATCAAAGTGTATAAAAGAGTAACATCAACTATAAAATAAAAAAATATTACAAAAAATTTTAAGCAAAAATACTTCAAGATCTATCCTTCTTAATTACTTTAACACCAAACTTAAGAATTATGATAGTCTGGAACTCACACAAAAAATGTGAGAACTGTAACAATATTCAATTTTAAATTTCTTGTAGTTGACGTGGGATATTTATAGTAGACGAATTTAATATGTATTATTTACTTCCAAGGATGTTGTGTTGCATAAAATATAATGAGATAAAAAAAATATATACTTGCACACCTTGTTGCAAACTGTATGATGTAATAAATTTAGTTTAAACACCTTTGATTAAAATTAAAGATGAACACCATCAGACTGCATGACAACTATACTTACTGATTATATGATTATATTTCAATGAATGTTTCTGCTAATTCAAGGTGATTTTTGTTGTTTAGTAATATTCTTGGTATTTAAACCACTAAAAAGCATGGTATCAAAACAAAACCTACCAGTCTACATATAAACTTTTAACTGTCCCCTGATGTTGAAAAGTAAAGCACAAACTGTAATATGTACTCTGAACTAAGAGGGAAATATTTATTCAGCATTAGGGCTCTTCAAATAATACAAGCAACATGATACACACATAAAAATATTCAGATTATGAATCAGATGAATAGTCTACTCCTACACTGTTCAAACTGTCTACTGGCACAGTTCAAAGTCGACAATAAAACTTTCAGTAATCTCATTTACCATCCAATACTTACAATTATTACCATATGGTTATTACACAGGTTGTGGGATCCGAGGACAGCGCGGATGAGCAGGAGATGATCACCCGCACACGTACCATGGACTCTCTGAAGACAGCTCTGCGCACACAGCCACACAGCTTCGTACTCAGGTTCATGGAGTGTGACGGTCTGCTGGCGCTGCTGGCTTGTCTGGAGGCTATGGACTATCACACGGCTCAGTCGTCTGTTCACACGTCGCTCATTGGATGTGTCAAAGCACTCATGAACAACTCAGTGAGTCTCAGCTTATTGATAGCTACGTAAAGAGGTTTTTTGTTGTTTCCTACACAAGTGACAATTTGTAATGAGAGAACCTAATCTTGTAAATGTGTTGGTGGTCAAACATGTCCCTCTCGTGCCAAAGTCTAGCTCACATCTAGCCTTGCACACACTAGAAGTGTTTTGGAGGGAAAATCTTTGATATTTGAGGTACTTTAAGTTTGAGGTCAGATTTAAAATTTGCAATCTGTCAATAAAGATTTTACTGGGTTTTGTTAGTCAGCTAGTTTTCTCAGTAAGTCCTTAAGAACCCCTTAAATAGAACGGTTGTTAGTAAATCCCAATAAACTTGACACATCCTTTAGCATTTTTATTGGCGTAACAACATCCTATAGGTTATGCTCTAAGGTGTTTGTTGTCATCAGATGTATCATGTTTTTTTCTGTTCAAATTGTAGCAATTTAGATGCTAAAGAAATTGGATTGTTTCAATACAAAGAGGTTTATATTGAACGGGGGAATCAGCTTCCTTTCTTTCAGCTCTCTTTAAAAGAGTATCTTGAGCTGTGTTTTGTAAAATATTATAAGGCCTTAGACATAAACAACCTTTATTTAACATATTAAATTTTATTTTGAATCCAGTCCAACATTTGTATACATTATAGGTCATGCAATAGGTACCTAGTAGATAAAAGTTGATAATTTTTGACCATCAACATTTTGTTAAACCACAAGATTATAAAAAATGTCTACCGACTTAAAGGTAACCAACAATAGAGTAATAGATTAAAGTAGAGTAAGATAGAGTCAAGTTTAAAGTATTTAACAAGTCGTAATGTTCTGCAGACGGGGCGAGCGCATGTGTTGGCTCACCCCACAGCCATCGACACCATCGCCCAGAGTCTGTCCACAGAGAACATCAAGACCAAGGTAGCAGTGATGGAGATACTGGGAGCCGTGTGTTTGGTGCCGGGCGGTCACAAGAAAGTCCTGGATGCCATGACACACTACCAGAAGTTCACATTTGAGAGAGCTAGGTTCCAGGTGGGTCTTTCTAATAGTTATTTTTCATACGTTATCGTGAGCATGCTAGAATCCATAATTCTTTTTTGAGTCAACTGTGTCTTCAGATCAGATAGAATTTAATACCAGAAGCCTAACACTTGCCGTAAAGTGGCATATTCAGTAACTTGGCACCTCTTCTGAGTTCAATTATATAAAAAAGCTGCCGAAACAAGAGAAATATTGATTTTGAATGAATACAAAATTTAGGTCTTAGATAGTTTAATTGAAAAGAGAAATTAAGGTAAATCTCCTAAGAATTGTGCTTATAACAGGTGCCAAAACGTATGTAAAAATTTTACAAACATGAATCGTAGAAATATTCCTAAAGGGAAACTTGATCAAGGCCAATGAGTCCTAAGGAAGAGATGATGAGTATCATTTAGGACATGCATTGTGGGTGTCCCAGAACATTAAGTATTGTGTTCTGAAGTTGAAGTAATTGTAACATGATTGTCTTTGCGCTCCTTTTTTATTGTGCTTGTACTTGCACCTTTCTTGTATCTGAGACATTAAAACAGGACATCAGACCTTCTGATAATTGTATAAGAACAACACACAGCTGTTCATCTATTACTGATGTCAGAATTACTTAACTACTATGAAGTATTCTGGGCTGAAGATAATATTGAACTTGTTCTTGATTTTTTATTTATATTGTGTTAGTGCACTTAGTTCATCGAACGTAAGATTTTGTAAAGAATCTTAAATCCACAATGACTGTTGTTTTTACCACCCAGGTTGAAAAAGTTTTTTTAAAACTTAACCAAAAAAACATACCCCAAAACTCACAATAAAGTTGTTAGGTAGTATTTCCACTAACATCTACCTTTAATACCTACCATTATTCTGAGTTAGCTTCAATTACAGTTCTTCTAACTTCACTGTTGGTTACAGGGTATCATCAATGACCTGGACCGCAGCACTGGGGCGTACAGGGACGATGTGTGTCTGAAGACTGCCATCATGAGCTTCATCAACGCAGTTCTCAACTACGGCCCCGGTCAGGAGAACCTGGAGTTCAGGCTGCATCTGAGATACGAACTGCTCATGTTGGGAATACAACACGTTATAGAAAAACTGAGGAGGCACGACAACGAAACCCTCAATAGGTAATACTGGTTGTTTTGTCTCAATGTTTAAAGATAGAGTCCAGATTTAATTTTTGTTCAAAGTATGTATAAATCAACAAAATCTAAAACCCCACACACTTACCTTAATCTTAATAATGGTAGCAATGTTGTAAAAATCGACATTTACAACTCATTGGCTATGTAATTCATGCAAGTGTGTAGTTTGGCACCCGTAGAGTGTGTGTCACAAACAGAAACTGGCAATTTCTTCACAAAGGAAAGAATTTTAGTGTAAAACTTCACTACAGTAATGTTGAGTATTTTTTACAGCTCCAAGCTCCAAGTCTGGAATAAAATCTTTAATATCATGTGTTGAGAACTAAAAAGTCTTGTTATCTTCTTTTAAAATCTTGCGAGATTCTCAATAGAGCCATCACAATCTCAATTTCCCCCTATTTTTTACCTGTGTTTTGTAGTACTGATTCTTGAGCGGAAACTGTGTTGTGCTGCAGTTGTCTTTAGATCAATAATTGTTGAGTCCTCAAACACTGGAATACAGTAGATTGCTAAACTAGGCAACCAGAATATAAACAAGCAGCCACAGTGATTGTGTTGAAGGGTTCAAATTTATTTGACTGATGGGTGATTTATTAAACATCCTGACTTATCAAAATCTTTTCAATACCTAATGCTCATAAACCATATATTGTATACAAATATGTCATCCTATTTATTGGAAATAGTTTTATGTAGTTACAAGTTTTTACTACCCTGTCAACATTTTTGTTATTATTTATTTGCCATTTAAGCTCTTGTGGTTATTTCAGGCATCTGGATTTCTTTGAGATGGTGCGCAATGAAGATGAGAAAGAGTTAGCAAGGAAGTTTGAAAAGGTAACATAAGACCTTTTGTCAAATCCGGTAGTTCTCATTTTTTTATGATGTTGGCCCAATGAATAATCCAAGTTTGAGACCTCAAGCGCCGAACGCAACCTTGTCAACAATTCAAAAATCGGTGAAATTTCCGACTTTACTTAAAATAAGTGAAAATAAATAAAATATTGCTAAAAATTGCAAAGTTTGAAAATATTAATAATGTTTGAAAGGCTGCATCACAGTAAATATTAAATCTATAGATACGGTTTTAGTGTCATAGTGTAAGGAATTTAGTCTACTTCAAACTCAGTATTTGTAAGTATAATCGAAAAATGATTCCTTCAGGGTTACAATCGCCAAAAACTAAAGTAAAGTCGGGAAATTCACTGATTTTTCAATTTTTGACAAGGTTGCATTCGGCGCTAAAGGTCTCAAATTTAGATTATTCATTGGGCCAACATCATAAATAAGTAATAAAAAAATCAGAACTACCAGATTTGACACAAGGTACCCTCGCCTTCATAGAACAAAGTTACCGGACTAACTTTGTCAATATGTAAATAAAACCGTTTCAGTAAAATAAATCCTTTCAAAGAGAAAACTATACCAGTAAAGGGAATAAAAACCTATTTTTGTCTCCTGAATTTGTCTCTTATTGAATGTATTGAAGTAAAGGGTGGTGCAAAAATAACGCATAGATCTAATTAGAGAAGTACAAAGCTGCAAAAAGCTGTAGTGTTAAAAGCTGAAGTTGTCTTGTTATTCTTGGACAGTGCAAACCCCTCGGTGAAAAAAATGCTGCTAAAATGTCACTTTAAAGAAAGTAATGGATACCGTTGAAGAAAAGTTGTATAAAAAAATACACAACCTGTCTTTTGACCACTGTTGGGAACAATATAGTTGCCTATTTACTCAAATCTGCTCCTTAGTGCAAAACATATAACACCTCCTGCGCTTCCTAGCTTTTAATTTCTGCCAATCCATCAATCTAGCTCATAGAGTAGTTATTAATTAGGAATTATGTAAACATCAACAAAGTACTGATAAACTATGATTTCAGGAGCAAGTGGACAACAAATCAGCGTCTGGGATGTTTGAGGTGTTAAGACGAAAGTTGAGTCACACTGCTGCCTACCCTCACTTCCTGTCACTACTGCACCACTGCATACTGCTACCTTGTATGTATTTGAGTGTTGAGCCTTACGGAGCAAATTTGTAAACCTAAACTGTGATGAATACTTGCTAAACTGAAGATAAACTATACTTTTTATTGTCAGACGGATTATTTTTCTGTTAGGCTATGTCAGCGTGACACCACCACTGAATTTTGCACACTATTGTACTTACCCTTTTTTAACAAACGTGGAGAAAATCCACAAGAAAAATTTTCGCTGTACAGGCTGTTGCAGAGCTCAAATTCCTTCTTCTTGAGGCATAGACATAGATTTAAAACACATGGACTCTGTTAATTTACACAGAATGTTCCATAAAATGTGCAATTAATATATCAGAAAGTTTGTTTGTGTGTCACAAGGATACTTAAATTAAGCTGAATATTCTTCACTTAAAAATGTGGAGATTCTAGATTGCATTTTGTTTTCAGTGGACTACGGAAGCCACCCCCAACACTGGTTGATGTTTGACAGGATTGTTCAACAGCTGATCTTGCAGACAGAAGGAGGGACAGACTTGGATGCAGCTCCTCTAGCCATCAATGTAAAGGAGATTGTTCAACTGTAAGTCCATCTTGTGATAAGATTGCTTTAGATGTGGCGTCTGGGTATGAGCAGTTTCACTGACTGGTAGAAATAAAAAGTATATCTGAAAAATTGGAATTCAAGCCTTTTAAATTATTAAAAAATATGCCATGGATTTATGTGGGTCTCTTAATTAAGCAGTAAAGAGTACATACATAGACATCACATCCTTAAAATACAATATCCAACATTACATTATAATAATGATTAATCCCTTTTCCATGCTAAATGCAGAAGATGCGTTTCAGTAAAGTGCTGCACTGAAAATAGCGTACAACACTATATACAGACTGTTGCCATCAATGAAATATCAATTTGGACATAAAGCATCCATCTAACTTTTCCATGATGGATTCCAAGGGATGTTAATTTTTGGAGAGTCTGTGGGGTACAGAATAACTCACAGTAAAGAAGGGGTCCGGGAAAATAGTTAAAATTGAGGTACACAATGTTTGATCTTACCACAGAGAAGAAAGAAACAGAGCAATGCTACACTTAAGTGTCTAGCACCAGTTTTTTATTTTTGTTAACTGAAGGCCTATAGATGCAAAATCGAAAAAACATGACCACACATAGTATGACTGTCTGTATAGCATACAGTACAATGTGTACATTAAATAATAGTCAGTTAAACTAAAGGATGTCTAAAGTGATTTACAAATTTTATAATTCTTGTTAGTGTGCAGCTGTGTAGGATGTACTTTACAGTGTTCACTTATTTAATTTTACTACTACAAGCATATCTGTTGTATGGTAAATGATCTAATCCCTTTTGTTTGGATAAATCATCTCTGCAAAATGATAAAAATTAATTTGGCAAAGTGATGGTGAAATTATTATTCCTTTTTTTTACCATAGACTAGCCAAAGAAGAAGAACTAGTTGCTGCTAGGAAAAAGGCTGATGAATTGGAGAAGGAGAACACAGACATGGCTACGAAACTGGCAAAAAAAGAACAAGAATTGGATATGAGGACACAAGAAAAGGTAAGTTTCTTCATAAGTTTTGAAGCAATGAAAATTAAATAAGTATTGCATATTGTTTAAACTTTAGATGTTTTTCTACCTAATGTATATGCCTGAAGAATTGTTCATTGTTGACCACAATGTTCTTGTTGGTCACAAGACTGAATGAACTATCTCGACTTTTAGTATTTTTTTAGAGTGATATCAAATAGATGATTTTTTAATTTACCATGGTACCGTACTGTAAACAATGTTTAAGTTAAAACCCATAATTTTAAATTCTACACATTATTTTGAAGAAAAGTGCTTAATTTAGTAAAATGTAACAGATTGGTCATTTAGGATTTAATTATCATTGCAAAAATCTTTTTTGATTTACCTGTTTTTATAATTTTATTTTACAGGAAGATGTTGAAGCAAGTCTAACACGAGTGAAGGAACGTTTGGAGAAAGAAACAGCAGCAAATCTGGAGGCAAAGCAGAAGATCTCACAACTGGAAGACCGTACAAGCGAGTTGGAACATGAAAGGCTCAGACTAGAGAGGCTTGTAACCTGTGGTAGTCTATCAGATGACACCAAGGTAAGTTGTAGAGATATATCTTGAAGAAAACTGGTGGGATGTTTCTATTAGTCTACACATGTATTGTATGATCAGCAAACGTTGAGTTCTTGGACAATCAAGTCAGTTAACTTAGTAGAGTAAGTGGATGTCGTAGCAGAAATACGAAAAAAATACGATTGAAAAGGAAAGATCATTAGTTATGTTCTAAGTGTTGTCTTTATATTGAAGCGTCATATTGTTATTTCAATGAGTCTTTTGTTTAGCTTGATTAAAACCAATTCTGTTAACAAGCAAGCTTTTAACACATATGGAATGTATAAACATTACCCATTAGGATTGAAGTTTGTCTTACTAAATCTATTCTTAGCATAACCATAAAAGATATCATAAGGGTTAGCCTATATTAAATAGGTCAACATTACATTTTAAATATTGAAATGATATTTGCTCTTTGCCCCCTATGCCCTCTCCCACCACCTAATCACTGCTACTGGTCAAAAATTAGCTATATAGTACACAAAATTCAATACATATATATGATTTGCAGGCCGTCAGCTTGGGTAAACTCAATGGCTCACTGGAGAATGGCCACGACTCCAATCACATATCCGAGGTTAAAGTCCCTCCTCCACCTCCCTGCCCATCGTTACCTCCACCTCCTCCCCCTGTACCTGGTCCACCACCACCTCCCTCAGCACCTGCTCCACCTATGGCACTGGCACCTCCCCTGCCTCGACCCACTGTCACCAAGAACGTCCCGCAACCTTCCAACCCCCTCAAGTCCTTCAACTGGTCGAAGCTGCCTGACACCAAGGTAAATGGCACAGTGTGGACAGAACTGGATGACACCAAGCTCTACACTGCCATGGAGCTGGAGAACATTGACAAACTGTTCTGTGCCTACCAGAAGAACGGGGTCGCTGTAAGTCTACTGGGGCTGCAGCCTCTTTATCGAACAATTTTTAATCACAAAAACCTGTTAAGTTTGATTCACGTCAGTCCAGTCACAGCTCAGTCTCAGATGCATCCGCAATTCCTCAGTCAACTGTCAGTCAGCTGGTTTCAGCCAGTCTTGCGACACTTTATTTACGGTGAGGTTATAGTCAAGAATTTGTTTATTAAAACACATAAATTTGTCATCACACGACAATCAGCATCCGTCAGGTTTCCGAACAATCCCAAAATATCGGCGTAAAGAAATCTGAAATCTGACGGACGCCAGCAGAACCGGCAGAACAATTATTGGGGGTCTGATGGACATTTGATAGAACTGCGCCAGATGAGTGTTGATAGCACAAAAGAAAAACCATTAAAGAATACTTTTTTTGACTGTGTCGCAACTGTTGTAACTGAACTGTGATGTGTGTGAATCAACCTTTACCATGGAATGTAAGCAAAGCAAGGGTGAGCTGATAAAGTACAAGAATTAACTGTGTTGATAAATATTAATGGTGGAAGAGCTGCACACGATGGTGCAAAACAATTATATTCTCACTGATTCATGATAGATTTTAAGAGGTACATGAGTGATTGTTATGATTTAAATTAATCAAGCTAGTAATTACAATAATACTACTAGTAGGAGTCCTTTAAGTTTCGGATGGTTAAAAGGTCCGCATAAACAACATAAATGAGTATTGCCACTGAATTTGTAGTTCAATTCAACTACCTTATTTACATTCAAAAACTTGCTCAACAACATTAACATGCAAAAGCTATTCTGTATATTGACATTGACTATACACAGAATAGACCTCCCATGTAATGTAAAAATTTGAAGCCAAATAACGTGGTGCAATCTGTTGTGATAGTCTTCCAAATGGCTAGTCAATGATATCAACTACTCTTCCCAGTCTAAAATGTGAGTCCGCACAAGTGGCATTTGCCGAACACCAAGATCTAGATTTGTAGACCCACTTTAAGGAAGTACAACATTCTTTACAAGATAATAAAAAAAAAAAAAAAACTTACAGTTTGATAAGTGTTACATTTTTACAGAATGATGGTTCAATAGAAGACCTACGTCAACTTGGAAAGGGAAAGACAAAGATTCTGTCAGTGATAGATGGAAGGAGGGCTCAGAATTGCACAATCCTGCTGTCCAAGCTGAAAATGTCAGATGAAGAGATCTCAAAGTAAGCGCATTATTAGTAACACACTATTTTAAAACACGTCTCCAATACTAACCTTCAACACATTGATAATGCGTCCTATTAAGATGATCCTATAAGATATATGTCCTATTATTTACTTACGATCATAAGTCTACTATTTTTTTTTTTTTTTTTTTTTTTAGGGAGAGGTGGGAAAATGCATTTATGCACACAGGTTGCTAGCCTGTAGTGTGGGACTCCAACGGGCTTAAGGCCCAGAGACTACCCACTAAAAACCTCCTCTACTCTTCGGACACTAGCCTGGGAACACTTGTCGCACTTCATCAGAACTAGGCCGAGTTTGCCTACGCCCGAGGGGCTTACGCCGTGTCTAGCCGTTTATTTCTTATCAAATCTAGACTATGTTCCGATCTAGATCATTCTTTTTAGCTTGAAGGACATTCCGGACAAAGTGCGACCAGCAGTCCCAGTTGTCCTCACCCTTCAGCAAGGTCTCACAGATCGATTCAATCGACAGCACCCCAAGATGTTGAATGGCCTCCTGGCGAAGCATATCCCATTGTGGACAGTGGAAAAAAGTGTGTTCCGCGTCGTCGGGAATGCATGGGCAGTAAATGCAGTCAGGTGAATTCGTTTTGGCCATCAAGTGCAGGTACGACTGAAAATAGCCGTGACCTGACAAGAACTGCGTGAGGTAATAGTCAACCTCACCGTGCCGCCGTTCTACCCACGGTTGGACCTGCCTGATGAGTCTGGCAGTCCAACGTCCTCGAGTCTCCCTTTCCCAGCTTTCTTGCCACATCTGAAAAGTGCGGGAGCGCTCTTCTGTTCTTGCAGCGTCCTTTCCGATGTAGCCTTGTCTCTGGTAGATTGCCTTCCTCTCCGCTGCCAAGAGTTTGACTGGGATAACTCCAGCGATCACCAAAACGGCCGGTTCGGACACCGTACGGTACGCGGAAGCGACCCTGAGTGCCGCCTGACGCTGCACTCGTGCGAGCCTCAACCTATACGCCTCCTTGTTAAGCGCGTCTGCCCACACCTCAGAGCCGTAGAGAAGCACGGACTGGACTGCAGACATCAGTAGTCTTCTACGGCTGGACCGGGGACCACCGACATTGGCCATAAGCCTACTAAGAGCAGCAACACTCCTAGCAGCCTTGTCCGCCGTACGGAAGATCTGGTCCCTCCAGCTCAGCTTGTTGTCCACCATGACACCAAGGTACTTGGCGGTTCGCGTGGTTTGGACAACTACGTTCCCAACTCGTAGCGGAACGATGGTTTCAATCCGTTTTTTCGTGAGGATGACGATCTCTGTCTTGCTCAGAGCGAGTGTCAGACCATGATCAGTCATCCAGGCGTTTACAACGCGCATGACTTGGTTCAGTTTCAGTTGGGCTAGCTCAACGTTGCGTGCAGCAATGAGGGCTGCGACGTCATCGGCGTACCCAACTAAAACGGTCTCCTCTGGCATCTCAGATCTCAGAAGGCTGTCGTAGGCAGCGTTCCACAAATCTGGGCCGAGTATCGAACCTTGCGCGGCACCGGAAGTAACATCCATCGTCCGCGAACCATCTTTAGTTTCGTAATTAAGAGTTCTGCAGCGCAGGTAGTCCTCGATCAGCCTCAACAGATATGCTGGTACGCGGAAGCTATTCCTCAACGCGCTCAACATATCGACCCATCTCGCCGAGTTAAAAGCATTCTTGACATCTAGCGTAACAAGAAGCACGATACGGCGAGAGTAATGATTGAAGCTCTCGGCACGCTCTACCGCTCTGTGTACCTCGGATATCGCGTCGATTGTTGACCGACCCTTTCTGAAGCCGTACTGACGAGGAGACAAATCTCCGGCAGCTTCCACGGCAGACGTCAGGCGGCAGCGGATCAGTTTCTCGAAGAGTTTTCCGGCCACATCCAACATACAGAGGGGTCTGTAAGACGACGGCATATTCGGGTCACCTTTCCCCTTGCTGATTAGCACAAGCCTAGCCCTTTTCCAAGGAGTTGGGAAAACCCCTTCGCACAGGCATGTGTTGTACATTCTCAGCAGTAAGAGGGGGTTAACTGAGAATACCTTCTTGAGAGCCTCACTGGGAATACCATCAGGACCAGGTGCCTTTCTATTTTTCAGGGAGAGGACAGATGATTCCAGCTCTTTAATGCTAAAGAGTGGAATGTCCCCTACCTCGCCATAGTCGAAAAAAGGCCGCCGAGGATGAGACGGGAAGAGGGCGGTGACGATCCTGTCCATGGTGGTGCCCTCCATGACGGAAGGTGGTGATCGGGCGCTGAGTTTCTGGGTTACAATCTTGTAGCCCAGTCCCCAAGGATCAGAGTCAACATCCTCCTGAAGCCTCCTCCAACAGCTAACCTTGCTCCTGATGATAGCCCGACGAAGAGCTTTCTTCGCAGCCCTATAAGCCGCTGACTTAGCCTCGAAATCCGGGAATCTTCTGGCCCTCATAGCGGCACGTCTGGCTTTCAGACAAGCTTTCCGAAGGTTCGAGATCTCTAAAGTCCACCAGTACACAGCTTGCTTATCGCGACGGCGTCCCCTGCGTGGCATGGCCTGGTCACAAGCCGAGACAATCAGTTCCATCGTGGACGTTACCAATGCCTCGGCGTCAACAGGTGCAGCAGAATTCACCAGCGCTCCCCGTGAGATTACGTCAGTGAACTTCTCAACATCCAGCTTGTCCGTATTCCATCGGCGTGGTCCAGATCGTGATACAGGCGCCTGATTATGATGTTCATCCAGTATATCAAAAACGATGTACTGATGATCACTTGCCGTGAGGTCTTCGATGACTCTCCAGTTGGAGATCCGTGCTAGTAGTGATTCCGACGAGAAGGAGATATCGGGGATCGTACCTCTCATGCCGGGGCGCCGGAAAGTAGGCGTGTCGCCCTCGTTTAAGACGACAAGTCCGGCCCTGGCGGCAAAGTCCAGGATGTATTTCCCCCGGGAGTTTGTAGAGGTCATACCCCACTCCACAGCCCTCGCATTAAAATCACCAGCAACAACGACATGCCCAACGGTACCCCGTACACTGTCTTCTAAGCGGTCAATCTTCAGACGGAATTCCCGAATTGGCTCGTTGGGGGTAAGGTAGACACTAAAAAACGTGACGTCCCTACACCTGACCCAAACGAAGCCTCGGCCGCGTCCGTGATCTCGCACTGGTGCTTCCGTGCTGTTTCGAACCCAACAAGCGGCAGTACCAAGAGAATCTGGGAACCAGAAGTGTGGGTCCCTGTCACGGTACTGCTCGCTGATCAGAAGGGTGTCCGCACCGATCTCTTGGGCCAGCTGATCTAAGAGGGAGTCAGCCGTTCTGGACCTCTCAAGGTTACCCTGGAGAATCCTCACTTCCTAGACCTAGCCTTCTCAAGGTCGAGTGCAGCCTTGAAAACACTGCATCGCCCAGCCCCTGGAATGTGACCTAATGAGGCGTCCTTTTGGCCTTTCTCTGCGCAGAGAAAACAACGCTCTGCTGCGGTACAGTTCTTCCTGTTGTGGCCCGAGCCGCCACACCTGAAACAATTCTTGGATAGGTCGGGTCCTTTACAGTTTCGGGAAGAGTGACCAAACCCGAGGCAGCGAAAGCATCGCGGTACAACCACCCTCCGTCTGAGCCTGCAATTGACCCATCCAATTCTCAGGTGTGTGAGATTAAGCAGCTTGCTGGCATCTTGGTTTCGCATTTCAGCGATAGCTATGCGTTGCTCGCTGCGGTTGGGCCGCGTAAGCCATACTTTAAGGGAGTCGGCATTTTGGATATCAGGGATGGCCTTGTTGATAGCCTCCCTGACTTCAGCCTCAGTCGAAAGACCGTCAAGGTCCCGGATCTCCACCGAGGTCCTAGGCTCGAGTTCCCGAACAGTACCGTGGTCCCCCAGAGCCTCTCTGACCTTTGCAGCAAAAGCCACTCGGTCACCAGATTTCCCCAGCTCGAGGAGAACTTTCCCATTCTGGGTACACCTGATTGACTTAACAATCGTATCCGTCTCCTCTGGCTTGGCCTTAGACTTTAGTCGACCCAAGACTTCAGCAAAAGAGCGCCCCCCTAAGGGGTTGATCAGGATTGCCTCAGCCCTGGGCTTTCTCGGCCTGGGTTTCTTTGAAACAGGGGGGGCCTTTCCACGAACCTCCCTCGCCGGAGCAGGATCAGCAATCTTTCGATCTCTTGCTGCAGGTTCTTTGTTAGAGACAGCCTCCATTCGTCTCAATTTCCTCTTTTCTTTGCGGGAAAGCCTCTTCTCCCAGTTACCCACATTTGATGGTGCCACAGCAGAGTTCATAGAGCTGCTTCCGTCAACCGTTGGGAGAGAGGCAAGCTCCCTGGTCTGCTGAGGGCGCTTCTTTAGAGCTGGAGTGTGCTCAGTCTACTATAGAACAACACACCGTTTTAAAGATGTAATAAAGAGTACAAGAGCCTAGGTTTTAATAATTTTCGTTAGGAATACAGGCTTACCTGAAGGGAAAGAGTCCACTATGGTACAAGAAACATTCATATATTTTGTATTAATAAATATAAATATACAAGATGCTACATTCTATTTCAGATTGATTCTCATTACCATCAAATGACAACCTGTTAAGTTCCACAACTAATTCTTAGCCCAATTTGAAAATGTCAATGATTTTGCTGTAATTTAATGACAACTTAATTGATTCTTGTCATCTAAATTTACATGGATGGTTTTCTCTGATGATTGGCCCAAACAAACAAAAAGATGAGCATATTGAACCAATTCCTAGCTTTCCTAATTTAGCTAACTTAGCTTACCTATGATAACTGACATTGAATGAGCCTCTTACGTGTCAGCTGGTATATCAAAGTGTTGCAATCATTCTAAACCTAAACATAATTTCTGTAAAATTCTTAAAAGATTTTCGAGTCTAACTATAACATCTGTTAGGGTGATAATGTCTATGGACTCGCGGGACCAGTTGCCGCTGGACATGGTAGAGCAGCTTCTCAAGTTCACTCCCAGTTCGGAGGAGGCAGCCCTTCTAGAGGAGCACAGCGAAGAGATCGACAACCTCGCCAGAGCCGACCGCTTCCTGTACGAGATCTCCAAGATCCCTCATTATGAACAGCGGCTGCGCAGTCTACACTACAAAAAGCGCTTTGGCGTCTGGGTCAATGAAATAGAGCCAAGAGTCAGAGCTGTGATGGAGGCTTCTCGAGAGGTAAATTTACCTAAAGGAGTTTGTTATTTGATTTAACTTAATTTTTGATGATGGTGAATTTATGTTTTTTAACGGAGTATTGTGGACGTTTTCCAACATTATTTAAAAAGCAAAGTCATAATAGCAGGTCAAGTAGCAACCAAGCTGCAATGGAAGTTTTCTCTGCTGTATGACCTACCACTTATGTGTTGGACTATTTTACAGTATGTGTAATACTGGAGTGGTGTATAGTGTCAAGTCAATTAAATTAATGTTTTATTTATTTATTTTATTGAGTTACATGTCAGTACCTACATCATAATAACAGGACATATTGTCAATGGTTAAATAAAGACTTAAAACTAATAGATAAAACTAATACATCTGTATTTACACAAAATCAACTGAATCTTCTTAAAATACAACATTGTTATATGACAAAAAAGAGCTAGAAGGAGTGGGGAGGTTTGTAATAAAGGGCAAACAAATACTATGGCGACTTTTTGTTACTATTGTTAAAACCTACTAAAAATTAAAAATCCTTAAAAACCATTAATCTTACCACATTAAAAATCAATCTGTGTTTGAATAACCAGGTGTCGAGATCACGTAGACTGAGAAGATTGTTGGAGGTGGTGCTAGCTCTTGGCAACTACATGAACAGGGGAGCGAGAGGGAATGCTACAGGGTTCCGACTAGCTTCTCTCAACCGTCTGGCAGACACCAAGAGCAGTGCTTGTAAAGGCACAACACTACTGCACTACCTAGTGGAGATCCTGGAGAAGAAGGTAGGACTAGAGTCCTGGGGGGAATGTAGGTAGGGCAGGGGGGCTCTTCACGTGCGGGAGATGTTCACGATGGCATCATTATCGTAGGAGGTACTAATAATGGTTTCGCAATCATTTGAGATGTTTACAATAAGGACGTGTCTATGAGAGCTGTTAAAAATGGCGTTGTGATAGCGGGAGATGTTCACAATTGTTTCAATTACAGCAGATGTTTACATTGGCGTTATGTTCAAGGATTTGTTCAAAATGGCGTCGTGATCACGAATTGTAGTTGTATCATGCCATTGTGATAGGTACACATTACAACATTTAGGTATATTAAAGCTAATACAGATTTCCTTCTGATCATCATATCAGGCCTTAAAACTGTACATAGTTTTGTAAAACGCGGTGATATTCGGTTTAAATGCCTCTTTGTTGTTAGCAAGCAATGTTAACAAACAAAAAATAATACTGATGTTTCACAAAAATTGCAAAACATGTGTAATTTTTATTCATTGTTTACAGTTTTTATTACTTGTATTTTTTACCCATTGTTGGTTTTTGTAAATCAGTGCCATAAAGACTGCACATTTTTACTTTCTCCCCCTATACCATAGTATATGGAGAAAGTATTGTTTTCGTCAAAATTTTCGAGTTTGAGTTTTGAGTGGATATATTCGTTTTGGGTCCCCCTGGACCCAAAAAAGTGGTTTTCGAAGTGATGTCTGTGTGTGTGTGTGTGTGTGTGTGTTTGTATTCACCGAATAGTGGCATCCTTCACAGGCACACGGCCGTACTGTGGCCTTTTTCAGGGTGCCACAGCTAATTCGATCATTTTTGAGGTTTTCCAGCATTATTACGTCGTTTAAACATCACATGCCACAATTGAGTATTTTTGAACTCGTTGATGTGAGTTTAAGTAGCGCAGGTACACACCGAATTGTGGAACACGAAACCATACAGGTAGCTAGCGCGCCTCGCGCCGTCCGCCGGAACTATAACTTTCCTAATGCTACGTTGCCAATTCTCGCGCCAGCTTACACTCTAAATAGTGGCACCATGCCACAATTCAGTATATATCAACAGTGTGTGTACAGGATGCCACTTAATGAGTTGTAGCGCTTGAGCAGTGTGTAGAACAGTGCAACAAGCAACTAATAAACTAATAATACTGTACTGCCACGTACTATAAAACAATTTAAGTACCATAAATAATATACTTTTGCTCCGAGTGGTGAACAATGTTTTACATTAAAAAAATTTGTGTTGTTAATAATTATTTAAATTGTTTTTATGCCACCATTAAAAATGTATTTTTGTTTACAAACATAAATTGGTAACGTAGTTACTTTGTATCAATTGAATTTTTACATTGAAACAATAACAATGTTTTAGGTTAGAACACTATATAAGTTGTCCTATGCTGCAATTTTTTATCTTACAAACTATTTCGTGCTGACATCTGTTTTATTAACATTCTAGTCATGTTGACAAAAATTTTACAATTACATTTCTGAATCACGCAGTAGAGGTAATTATTATTATTTTTTTTATTATTATTTTTTTATCATTTTATTTAATTTACAATCTGTTAAAAAAAATAGAACAATAAGCAAATGTGATAAAATTTAAACACAGTAGTTAGTCCTTATCCAACAATAAAGCTAACAAATAAACTTTGCATATTGGCACAAAGTTTAAAGTCCATAAATCTCTAAAAACGACTACTTAGGTCCAAAACATCTTTTCAATCTATATATACAGTTGCTGTTGTTCAACAAATTCAAAGCGAGGTAGTTGGTATGGTACTCTAATTTCTTTAAGTATTTGGCACTTAACCTTGAAATTGCTTCTTTGATCGTTGGGGTTCGACTGTCTCTATGGAGCACTTCGTTGTTAACGAACCATGGTGCCTGAAGAATGTGTCTACTAGGTGTACAATGCAGTTGTCTGCTTGCAATATTGAGCGGAGCCAGCATATTAATTCAATGTCAATGATATATTTGGTTCGCATAGATGTAATGCCTATTTACAGATTCTAAAGTCAATGGTACGTCCGGTTCACGTAGATGGATTGTTTACTTGTAGTATCCAAACTCAATGGTGCATGTAAATGAATAATCTACTTGCAGTATCCTAAATCAATTGTCCATTTATTTCGTTCATTTAGATAAAATGCCGAATTGCAGTATCCGAAGTCAATGGTTGGCTTAGGCCTACTTCTGCTTCACTTATATGGGATGTCTATGTGCAGTATTCAAAGTACGTCAAATGATACGTCGGGTTCATGTCAAAGAATTGTCTAATTGCAGTATCGAAACTATGAGCAAAGATTACATATGCATGAGTGTTATATTTGGTTCACCTTAATGGAATTCCTATTTGTAGACTGCAAATAGGAATTGCAGTGCATATTCAAAGTCTACATTAATGGCACGTCTTGCTCACATAAAATACTGAAAAAGTTATTTACAGAATCCAAACGCAATATGGTGCATTCACCTAATTCTGGCAACCCTTATGGTTATTCATTTTGTAGTAAATTATGCTCAATGCTATTAATCAAAAGCAGGAGTGTATGATAAGAGAAGTTAAAGTCAATGATATAAGAGCTTTGCTACGCTCTGCTCAATAATTTCTATATCCTGCAAATGAATCATGATAAACCTATGCGATACCTGCATTATTAAAAGGCAATAACGATTATTATTTGAGATCGCAAGTTCGAATCTCCTCGGCGGCCTTAAAATTTTGCTTCTGATTTTGTTATAATATGATTTTCTCTTAACTTCACTGATTTTTTTTTTTAATTTATATCTTAATTTTGTGATAAGAATGCATTTTTTATAAATACATTAACTTTTTGTGGTAATCATTTCCTAACAGCGAATAATTGAGATAGGCTAATCGATTTTTAAAATTATCAATTCGTTTTTAAGTATAGACATATAACTTAGGTCTAGTTTTATTTTAGCAGTTAAAAGTAAGAAATATATTGTCAACCACTTTCAAATTTTCCCTTTGGTGCAGTAAAATTTATCAATACGACTATAATGTAGACTAAAAAGAATAAGTGAAAACTTTAGGAATTGGTTTACTGGTACGTTTCATTACTTTTATAATAACATCAAAATAAGCAGTTTGCTTAACTTGAAATCTTATTTTTCCTAGTAGCTGGAACCTATATATTTTTCCAACTTAACTTGTTAAAAAGAACATAACGATTATACAATTAAATATAAACGTCATGATTTAATCACTCAATATAGAACTGATTGTTAATCAATTCGTATTACATGCAATTAACTAATATACTCTTTAGTATTCATCACATATTTTTCTTTTGTACTGTATTTATAATGTGGTAGATTTGTTGACTAACATATGTCGAGGCTCTTTTTTACTTTTTAGTGTTGACTCGCAAATAATGTCATGGCAACCAATTAACCCATAAGGCCCATGTTAAATTTCTAAAAGTTTGCATTCATGTAGGGAAAATTCCTATGGTCCGATTTGTACCATTTCAGATTTATACCTTCCTATGGTTGGGTACTATGACTGTGTTAAATTTCGTGAAGATCGCTTCAGCCGTTCAGGAGGAGTATTTGTAAAACAAAAGCAGGAGTGTAGTATAAGAGCTTCGCTCGCTTCGCTCGCTCCGCTCAAAGAACTTTAGATTGGAATCTTTGGATGATGTTCAAATTGGATTCACTGGATGTCCCCCACAGTTGGATACCGTACGTCCACACTGGTTTTAGAATGGTTTTATATAAAAGCAATTTATTTTCTGTTGTTAATTTAGAATTTTGATTTAATAGGCAAGAAAGAGGTAAATTTCGATGCAACATTGCTGAAAGTTATGTTTTGCTTCTCACTCTCAGAGTATTCCAAAGACATCTAATGTTTCAATCCATGTTCAAATGTTATATGAGGTAAACATATAACCGAATCAATTAAAGTACGGTACTTAAATTAAAATACATATTATTACTAGGGTTGCTTTCAGAGAGGTGAAAGCCAGTTGAGCGGAAAAACGTGATTTGATATTTGTATAAGTAACTAAATGTAAAAACTTAATAGATGTACTAATGCTGGTTTTATTGGTTAAAATTATAATAATTCAAATTTGTTTTACTACAACTTGTTATTCAGATACCTCTTCCAGAAGTGCATTATGGTAATTTTGACCAGGAAAATATTACAGTAGTTGGAATCTGATATTAACATCCAAATTTAACTGTAGCCCACAACAAAAACATTGGGCTTTATTTTTCACCCTTACAATCGGTTAAAGTATTGAAGTATAAAAAAACGTAATTATTAAAAAAACTAGTATTAAAGTATAACAACAGGAGGGGAAATTCGACATTTAAATTCAACTGTGCAACATAAACATTGGTCTTCATTTCAACCCTTGCAATCGGTTAAGCTCAGCTTTCTTTGCTGGAAATAATTTATGATTGTTAATACCAAGTATTCTTGATATGATGGAAGATATTATTGTAATGTAACTAGAATGTACGTCTTCTACCATTATTAGGACGATTCAGAGACAGCATTTTAATATTGTTCTTAATAATGGCCATTGGATACAGAAGATTTTGATGAAAAAGGCTTGCTACAAATTTAACATGGGGATGGAATGTCTGTAAGTTGTATTGATAGTCAAAGATAAAACATAGGCATACGAAAAGCTTAGGGCTATTTTAATGTGAGACTCAAATGTAAAACACCTTTAAAAGACTAAAATAAACTGAATTATCAATTATATATTTCAAAAGGTAAAAATGTAAAAAATTCAAAAAGACTTACTTATTGAACAACAAAATAAGATGGCTGAAATGTAGGCCTAAACATAAGTAATAAGTAAACATCGCATTCAGCTGATTTAAGTGAAAACAGAATAACAATAAGAAGGGAAGACATGTCTTAAATATACAATGTAGATAATATGATTAGAAATTCGTAGCCTACTTTTGGACAGGCCTAGCCAATTATCCATACCGTGGATAAAAGTG